ATAAGGAACTTCATTCCAAAAATAATTATGTTGTCATAGTTTTTATCACTTATAACAGGTACTATTACTATTATTTAGGCCAAAAAACGCGATGTTTATGGCGCGAAGACTTATAATACGCACTTTATGGACCAAAATAATATTTAAACTCTTTCTAAATGATTTTCTATTTTTCTGCATTATTTACCTGAAAACCTATCATGTTTTAAAAGAATAATACTATGTTGCAATATTTTTATGAGCGACCTCATAATTCATATTGGAAAATTTTAATAAACTTTAAGGCACTGCTATGAAGAGTGAAATAAAAATTAAAGTCTGACTCGTTGGGTCACAGAAATACTCTGTGAACTCGTTAAGTTTTAAAACGCTTAGGTGATAAGCTTCAAGCATTCGATGACGAAATACTTGCATCAGTTTACAATAAAATATTTATGCGTGTTTAAACTGGATACTTTGAATAAATAATTTATAACTAAAACTCTATATGGTATACAAGTAAACAGATTTAATCTGAGACATGTGCACGAATAAAATACTTAAGGATTTTTGTAAGAAATCTCAGATTCATCATTTTATCAAGATGTATAGAAAAAAGTTTGGAAAACAGTAATAAAAAATAAATAAAAATTGAAACGTCTGTAATTATACGTACATGAAATGTGGCGTAGCTTTCGGTTCGTCACTTATCTAGTAAGTACTTATCTTTGAAGCTGATTAGCTACGTAACTGAAAAACTAACATAGCCTCAACAATTATCTAGGAGGACGTGCACAAGCGTTACACACATTATTATACCTTCCAGCTTTCTCGGGAGAAATTGCTCAGAACAAACAATAACAACTGTTTATCTATAGATCGACGATCAGTTAGCCCCCAAGTGCCGAGCCACAAAGTTAGCTTCTTCCAAAATGTCTTTGTTACGAAAATTGGTGCTGTTGAATAACTTAAAAAAAAGTACGTTCCCGAGAAATACTTTAAAGCCCATCTGAATAACGATGTTTGGTTCATCTGTGAGGACAAGGTCACCAGTGATGGTCTCCTGGAGTTCTCTGTCAGACTTGGTTCCATCACGCTGAATACAGATTGCCTGGCAGAGCTAAGGACACAGCAGGAGGCGATCATCCGGAGCTTCGCCTCGAAGACACCAAAAATAATCTACAACAGCCCAAGTCTGACGGTGGAGCTCATGGCTGACGAGCACAGTAGCCCGATTTTTCTAGTTTTCCGAAGCTCTACTTCCGGAGCGATTTGCTTAAGACGTGAGGCGTTCGAGCACATGGCCAGTCGCTTTAAGGCTATTGTCTGGTATAAGATCGTGTCTGCAAGGAAGAATAGGATGAATGCGATGATAAGACGACTAAGGTCTGGCAAAGATTAAGGCCAATTGCAGCAGATCCCAAAATCTCGCCGACAAGTTGCTCAAGAAGTGCCTGTCGGAGAAGTAAGATTTGATTCTTTCCGTGTCACAAAATCTGGATCCGGCAATGGCGTGACTGATGAGGCAAGATCCAGGCTCAACGTATACTCGCGCATGCTCAGAGTGTATGATTTCAATTTATCGTGTAGACCTTATTCATATCATAGTGCAAGTATGCGAGTGAAATCTTCAGTGAAGAAAGTTTAAGGGAAAAATCTTTCATCAACGTGAAAATATGTATTTATTATAATCCAACAATACAAACGTGCTTGTTTTAAATAGGAATTGATTTTTGAAGTTATACTTCTATAGACGCATTATGCGCAGCGGTAAATCAACGATTTCAGATTTTAACCTTGAGAAAAAGTGTGATGGAAATGGATTTTGCTTGATTCTCCCTGTTTCTCTCGCCCCTCGTGACGTACTTCTGGTTTCCTCTACACTACATGATGCCACACCACATCACCATGCCACACATTTTTAATTATACGAATCTTATTTCTTTTTCTATTAACCAATTCTTAAAAAAAAAAAAAAAATTAAAAGAAACAAACCAGGGGGTATAAATGGGTCATGGGACCCACGGTAAGAACGAAGTTCTTTAAACGTGAGATGAGTATAAAAATACACATTTTCTTAGGTAACAAGGGGGGCGCGAGATCCATAGGAAGAACAAAACTATATAAAAATAAGTACTGCATTCATGTAGTTCACTAAAATAAAAACTTGAAAAACGAATTTAAAAAAACATAAGAAAATTTAGTTCAGTACTCACGATAGTTGAACTTCGTGAGTACGTCTTGCTTAAATACAGTTTGTTACCTGAGAAATTGTGTGTCTTTACACTCATCTCATCAATCTCATGTTTAAAGAACTTTGTTCTTACCGTGGGTCCCATGACCCATTTATACCCCCTGGTTTGTTTCTTTTTCTTTTAGTGAAGAGTTGTGAGTAAAGGGGGTGCGCGAAATAAAAACGAGTATTTTAAAGTAAGACAAAAAGTTTATTTATTTATACTGCCGACCAACGTAAAACACAACTGACTTGATACAGTTTACAGACTTATTACTGACAAAACGGACAAAGATAATAAAGCTAGAGCCGACGAGAGGTGTAGAAGGTACGGTGGCTTACACTGTACTGACTAGAGGGCCCGCAAGTATCACCTTGCCTGTGGTGCTGTCTTACACACTATATATACTGCCTATTAAAAAGTCGTGCATGCCAACATTTAGTTTGTTTGTTTTTTTCATTTCTTGTTTTATTTTTTTTTCATATTTCATTTCATTATTATTTCATATTTCATTCATTATTATTTCATATTTCATTTCATTAATTTTTTTTCATTCTTTTGTATTTCCTTTATTTCATTTTATTTTATTTTTCTATTTAATTTTCTTTCTTACATTCCCTTATTGATTTCATTTTTTTCTTTCTTTTTCGTTAAATTGCATTTTTTTATGTCTTCTTTTGATTTTATTTCATTACATTTTTTTCTTTAATTTTTTTTCTTACTTATTTTATGCAATTGTATAGCCTATCAATACAATTTTTGTTTTGCGTTTATATAATTATTTAATGACGTTTTGTCATTATTTGTTTATTAAATTTAAAATAAGTGCTCTTAAAAACCATTAAAATGATATGTCACTCGAAATAAACATACATAATTATNAGAAACGAAAATCTGACAACCGTAAAGCTGTATAAAATTATACAACTTAAACAATCTCATTTAAATTTTGAAGAGAAATATTCTTTAAATTTAACTTACAATGAACGGAATGCTGTTTTAAATAGAATTAAACAACAAAATAATTAATTTAATTATCTACTACTTGCAATGCGTACTTTAATGTTTTTTTATATTCTCTGAGTTTTCTTTTGATGTATGAAACTCATTCAGTAGTATATGTAATATCTCCGTGAAATGATAACACATCAATGAATCCATAAATCATAACCCGTGCAAGTATATTTCTCTGCATGGTCTACCTTTTTTGGGGTACTTTTATCACAAGTAATTTCAACATCATGACAAGCATCATCATAGTTTTTACTAAGGTCATTATTATGAATGATGGATGCATTGTAAGACCCACATTTAACTGGCTGGTCATTCTGACTATCTAATATCTTTTGATACTGCTTAAATATTTTTCTCAGCAATGTCTGCATTACTTTCAAGCCTGTCTTTTTTATAATGCATCGGCAAAGTAAAATTAAGTTCAAAACATACATCTTTTTGAATAAAAAATTTCAAAAACTCACCTTGTTGCCATGTTTTGCTGTAAATAACGCTTTTTTTACGTTTGTCTTCATTGACAACAATAAAATAAGATTCATTAACCTGTTGTACGTGTGGTCTTTTTTGTGCAAGTTCTACAATGTCTTTTTTAGTATCTAATTAAAACACATGCGTATCAAGGAATTTTTTAACCTGGTTGAATCTACAATAACTTTTTTTTTCTAATTTACGATGAATACTTTTTCCCACTATAAGAACTTGACATTGAAATGTTTTTTTATTAGATGCTTAAATGGCTGGCTTGGAATTTTCTTTGGTTCATGCACAATTTCTTTGGCCTTAGAATTTTCTATATTAGTTCTTTTAACGTACTCATACGTGTTTGATGATTTTATATATACATCAGCATACGTGTAACAACTTGTACACACAAAATGCAATTACAAAAACTGTAGGGAGTGTTCACAAAAATATTTAGTACAGCTTTTACAATAAAAGAAAAGATTCAATATATTAGTGTGTGCATTCGTGCCAGCATGAAAACATTGCAGGTTACATTCTCATGTAAGTCCCATGCACGTAAATCATAAGATGAGATCGTTTGTAGGAAATCTAGAACGTACCCAGTGTGAATATAGAGATATACGGTACTTTTTGTTTACTTTCAGTCATTCAGTCAGTTAGTCCCATTTCTTAAGAAAGTATACCTTTATTCACGATGTAAACAGATATACATGCTAGAGGAGTCGGACCCACCAACTGAACGACCAAACTTTAAAAAAAGTAATAAAATGAAATATGAAAAAATAATGAAATGAAATATGAAAAAATAATAAAATGAAATATGAAAAAAAATAATACAAGAAATGAAAAAAAGTAAATAAAACAAGAAATTAAAAAAAAACAAATTAAAAGAAACAAACCAGGGTATAAATGGGTCATGGGACCAACTAATTAGAATAACTAACTAGTTACTTAAAATAACTAATTAGTTATTTTTCATATTATTGGTTTAATAAATTACTATAGTCATATATCTTATTTCTTTTTCTATTAACCAATTCTTAAAAAAAAAAAAAAAAATTAAAAGAAACAAACCAGGGGGTATAAATGGGTCATGGGACCCACGGTAAGAACGAAGTTCTTTATATCACGTACTGGGGGGGGGGGGGGCTGGAATTTAAAAACCGACCGATTTGATGAAACGGAAGTGGCTTACCGGAAGTTTCTTCCTCCTAAGTGTCCCCCCTTACCCCGTCGCCCTCACCGTCAGTTCCCTACACACTTCCCCTCACCCCGCCATATATCTTCCAACCCTGCCGCGCTACTCTCCTGCACACACGCAAAGAAAAACACACTTTCCAATAAGGAAATTTGTACCCGCGACCTCCTGTACTCGAGTCGAGTATCTTACCCACTCTTCTACGAGCGCTGCCGAATAAAGTAATCGGTATCTTATACTTATCCTGTGGTTCGTAATTTATTTTTCATGTGTATTCCCTGATAGTACATTCAACTAATGATAAATTATTTATTTAATTATTTTTTAAAATGAAGTTCTTTATGTCGCGTGCTTGGGGGGTGG